ATAATTTTTTATCAGTCCTGTGCCTTGAGGGTAGAATCTATGCATCCTCCCATGTTTAACAGACTTGAGGCCCTGACACCGTATGCCATTCTTGTAGTATCATGGACACTGGTTAGAGGCTTAGATAGATGGAGCTACACCCAGCTCTTGGTATGGAGCTACACTCAGCTCTTGGTATGGAGCTACACTCAGCTCTTGGTATGGAGCTACACCCAGCTCTTGGTATGGAGCTACACCCAGCTCTTGGTATGGAGCTACACCCAGCTCTTGGTATGGAGCTACACTCAGCTCTTGGTATGGAGCTACACCCAGCTCTTGGTATGGAGCTACACCCAGCTCTTGGTATGGAGCTACACCCAGCTCTTGGTATGGAGCTACACTCAGCTCTTGGTATGGAGCTACACCCAGCTCTTGGTATGGAGCTACACCCAGCTCTTGGTATGGAGCTACACCCAGCTCTTGGTATGGAGCTACACTCAGCTCTTGGTATGGAGCTACACCCAGCTCTTGGTATGGAGCTACACTCAGCTCTTGGTATGGAGCTACACCCAGCTCTTGGTATGGAGCTACACCCAGCTCTTGGTATGGAGCTACACCCAGCTCTTGGTATGGAGCTACACCCAGCTCTTGGTATGGAGCTACACCCAGCTCTTGGTATGGAGCTACACCCAGCTCTTGGTATGGAGCTACACCCAGGTCTTGGTATGGAGCTACACTCAGCTCCTTCACGTGGCTGACATTAACAGATCGTTGTCCTGGCACAACCCTGCCCGAACTCAAACCCCCTCTAATTGCTGTTCTGTTGTCATCGGGGGTCATCATCAAACTCGAAGATGGTGTTTTAGTCAGTGTGGTAGGAGTGAGAAAGTACCCACTCCTAGAGGCCACATATAATCTTACTGTTACTTCAAATTAGTTCTGTAGGATGTTAAATTAGACCACGTTTTTTAATATCCATCTGGATATACACTTTGGCCAAAAATATTTGCACCCTTAGTAATCATTTCCCATTTATTCATAAATAAGTAGAAATTATGAATAATATTTTAGTTTCCTCGCATAATTATTGGCATTTTAATATTGCCAAATTAATTAATCTTGCAGAAACGTACGTTTTCGCCCAACGTTTCCCAACTGCTAATTTCAACTCTCACCACAGGTTTTCTATGGGATTAAGATCTGTGATTAGTCCAGAGTTTCTTGTTTAGCCAGAGTTTCTGATAAGTCCGGAGTTACTTGTTTTGCCATACTTGAGTGATTTTTTGTGGTTGGGAATCTATGCTGGTTAACACAGATCTTTGACACAGGTGTTTTAACACTAGTTTTAACGTCCTTTAAGTCTTGGATTACTTACAATTTACACTTCTTGGTTAAGAGTGCAGCAAAACTTGTGGGTTAAAACTGTTCTTCAGGTCCGCTTGCAGTTACTTTAATGGTTGTTTGAGATGCTTTGTTGACCATTCAAACAAACTTCGATTTCATTGCATTGCCTCTCTGGGCTGTAGTCCACAGTTCTTTGGGCTGCAAACCTGATATGACTGCAGACTGTGCCAACAGGAATTCAAAGGTCATGGGAAGTGTACTTTCAATTTTGTTTCTTGTGTTCTTAAACAGCTGCTTAACAATGGTGCAAAAAAAAATCATCTGTTTTCAGCTACAATAGTCATTTATATCCTTAACAATGTCTACAGAGTTTTCTGATCAATTTAATGTACTATAAAAAAAGACCTCAAACAATTGAGTGGTAGTGTTTATTATATATATATCATTAGAAAGATTTTACCACAATGTAGGATGTTCTGACTTTAGGATACATCACATTAGACATCAGTAATATCAACCATGACGCCAGACATCGTCACCTTGCCATGATAACGAACTGGTGTAAATCAATACTCCAAACACAGCACTTTAGTTGAGAAAATGCTCTGAAGAGCCTCTGATGTTAATAGATGGGATGTTATTAGTCTGGAAGACCAAATACGTGGGATAATATTAGAATTCTGTCACATGTGTGAACTGTATTTTTGCATTGGAGAGATAAGGAACATTCCCATGTCCAGATGTTGCTGATGCATGTAAGATCTTACAATGTCTGAAAAGATGTTTACTCCAATGGCTGGCCCATGTAGTAGGTGTGGCTTGAAGCATTGAATGCTGTACAGACAGTGGCCAGTTTATTTGGTAGCCCACCCCATTCACAACAAACAGTTTGCTCACACAGACAGTGAGCCATTCAGGTTGCTGTAAAGGAAGCCAGAAAGGCATCTAGGCACTCAGCTGGGCAGGTGGGCAATGGGCAAAATGAGTGACCTAAGGAACTTTGACACATCTGCCCAATGCAGTTGGTGCCTACAAGGACCAACATCCCTGTTGAATGTTTCTGACACCTAGTAAAAGCAATGCCCAGAAGAATTCAGGCTGTCCCTGAGGCAAAGTGGTTCATAGTGGATGAGTGCTCCTAATAATAAACTATCCACTACATGTATTTAAATAAGGGGCGGTGTTCTCCAACCCTAAAGAACAGCCCCTCCCATTTTCCAAGTGGTCCCTCAGCATTCTGCTCCATCTTCCCTTTAAATATTTTCTTTTCCAAAATGTAAAACAAGCTGATCAAAACCCATGGTTGCACTTCCTGTGTGAAGAGAAGGCGATGTACAAAAAGTAGGCTAATAATTACTTTAGTTCATTTGTGACAACAGACAATTAGAATGACAAATATTTACAATATACTGTTTAATGAAATACATAATGGCATAATGTTACTGAGATGTTATTCATTTTTAGCTTGCTCTTGCATAAAAATTAAATCGTTGCCATATGGCTTTGAGTCTGAATGAAGCCCCCCCCCAAAAAAAACATATCCACAAACTATAGTGATGAAAACATGATGTTTATGCATTTGTACATATTTTGAGAGCTAAAGGGTTCTATCAACATAAAAAATAAATTAAGCATAAAATATTTTCCCATCTCTGAACTTTTTTGAAGTGATTTCTTCTTTCTTTCTTTGCTCAATAAGGTTCTCAAAGTACATGTACTTAAATGTATAAAAACCTTGGGACATCAGAAAAAATATGGTGCAAATTGTACATAGAACCTTAGTGTTCTGAAATGTCAGTAAGTGTTGAGCTACAATATTCTATCCACACATATATTTTTGGCATTTCAAAAGAAAGGTTAAGGCATTTATAAATCAAATTCCTTAATGGCTTTGTCAGACTTTTTGGATTGCACATCTCTCTCACTAATAATGTGTTAACAATGACTGTCTTCTGCCTTTCCAGAGATTCAAAGGGCTTCGACCCCCCAGGGCTCTGTCCTCTACTTTACTCCTTGTGTGTTAACAGTGGTACTCCCCAAGGATGTGTTCTCAGCCCTATACTTTACTCCTTGACTGTTAACAGTGGAACTCCTCAGGGGTGTGTCCTCAGCCCTCTGCTTTCCTTCCTGAGTGTTAACAGTGGGGCTCCCCTGGGGTGTGTCCTCTGCCCTTTGCTTTACTCCCTGACTGTTATCAGTGGGGCTCTCCAGGGGTGTGTGCCTGCTGCTCTACTGCCAAATCCACAAAAACCGCAGCAAGATCTAGCATCTGTTCCTATTAATGCTGCATTATTTTATTGGACCACTAACTTACTTTGGTCAGTCTTTCCTGCCTCAGTCCCATTTGTTTACGTTGCATTTGTTTATGTGACAGGGTACTAAGGCCTGAATCATGTCTAAAATAGTAATTATCTTTTTTCTTCTAGGCTTTTCTAACCATTGTGTTTCAATTTTTTTTTATTGTTTATTTTTAGGCTATCTGTCTCATTTTAAGTTCCTCAGCATACACATAGACATGGACTTGTCATAGATCAAGCCACACTAATCAATGGCACCAGGGTGTTACGGGGTCACATCAGAAGCTCTACTTTAAGACTTCTGAATGGTTACAAGCGGTTCTCATGTCAGAGCTGGGGGCAATAATACAGAGGCTGGGAAATTGTTTCTATCCACAAGCTGTCAGACTGTCGAACATCTGTCTCACCACCTACACTCGTTCTATTCTTAAACCCATGCAGTCCTGTTCTCATATTTAATTAAATAAAATACGTTTGGCTGTTTTGGGAAAACACCATAATGCAAGAATATGCAAGTGGCTTTTAGTTGTTTACAATCCGCAGAAAGCCCAGGAGTCATCTGACCGAATAGTTATAGAGGACTAGGGTGAAGTAAAAATAGACACTCATCTGTGCCAGTGAATTATTCTAATAGCTTTGCCAGAAGATTCTTTTAGACCTGTTTTGCCGCCTGTGTGTGAACTCTTAGTTCTTAAAGAACAAGCCGTTTAAAAGAAACATGCATTTTCTGTGACTAGTTCCATAGAACACCGGTAGAGATGTTGAAATATTCAACTGTATTCTTACTCATCAACAGGCCATAAACATTTTTTAACATTAGTTGACTAGAATTCGGATTACATTTCTTGCTCAGGGAAAGAGATGCTTTTTCAACATGCCAGCTATCGGATTCTATCTTTAACCTTTTGGTTACTTGTCATAAATATATCAGTCAGGCTACCGGCTGCCTCTAAATAACAGAACAGTATAGTTGTGGTGTGCAGACTCTTAGAACCCACAAGTCAGTTGTCCGTCACAGATGGACTATTACAGCAGACAACCACACCAGAGTTCCACTCCTATCAGCCCAAAGCAACAAGCAGCACCAGTGGGCATTCTATCAACAACCCTTGACAACTAAAGAGTGGAAAAATGACTGGGTCTGGTCCCAACAAATCCCACTAGAGGGGCCTACACAGTCCCCAGTCCTCCACCCAATAAAGCAATTTTGATATGATGAGATGGTAATGGCGGTTTGCCGCATGGATGTATAACCTTCCAATCTGCTACTGAGGAAAGTTAGCATCTCTGCATAGACCAAAGTCCCCGAGGAAGATTTATGAATCCTTTTGAATTAACCTTGACTATGTATTCCAGATGCAGTTGTGCTGTCTTTGGATGTCCCCTGTAGCTCAGTTGGTAAAGCTTGGTATTTGCTATGCCAAGGTTGTGGGGTTGATTCCCACAGATGGCCAGTATAACTTTTATCTGTTTCTGTGGTCCAAAGTTGCATTATTGTTTTGGCATGTAGTTTGAATTGTTATAATTTTCAGTCACAGGAGCCTGTTTCTTCGTGAGACAATATTCTTAGAAAAGGGTTTTTGTGATTGTAAAAGAAAGGGGCAAATTGCTGAAATGTATAGAATTATCATCAGCATGTATAAAATTAAACTGACATGACATGATTCCATATTAAAGCTGTCAACCTCTGTAAATACAAATCGAAAAGCAGATCTGTGTGTCAAGTCTGTGTGATCCCATAAGTTTTTCTTTTTCGGTGTGTTTATGACTAAAAAAGTATGCTGCTTACTCTTCAATATTTTTTTATTTATGAAAACAAAAAAGTTGTCAAATTGATGTAAGTGTCAGGGTTGTGATGAGGAAGAACCCAAATGCAGAACGATGACACGGCAGTCAGATGGCAAGTGAACAAATGGATGTTTTATTTGGAAAACAACTGATGGTGATGAGCAGACAGGAGCAGGGGTGAGGAGTGCCGGTGATGAAGGTGAATCCCAGGTGACGATATCCCAGAACGTGCAGGGTGTCCAGTAATTCTCCGAGTGCAGGAACAGAACAGGAACAAACTGTAACGGAGGAGGCGAGACAAGAGGTAAGTACGGGACACGGACTAACACGACACAAAACAACAAACAGCTCTCGATAAGACTAGAATTCTTCTGACTGAGACTTTATATGACCGAGGTCGACATACGTGACTCTAGGTAACAATCCGACGTCGGCTGGTTGTCAGGCTCTCCCTCTTATACCCTGGTGATTGAAGACTTGGTGCAGGTGTGTGATTACGGGAATGGTGACAGGTGCGTGCAGATGCCAACCTCTCCAGATCCACCAGAGGGAGACCTTACCCGGGTCCAGAGCGGGGAACTCTGACAGTACCCCGTCCCCCACGACCGCCACCAGGCGGTCCACCTGGGGCTCCTGGCTTCCGCCGATAGAAGTCCTGGATCAGGCTGGGATCCAGAATCAGACGCCGGAAACCCAACACCTCTCCTCCGGACCGTAACCCTCCCAGTCTACCAAAACTGGTAACCCCGCCCTCTGCTCCGAGAGTCCATAATCTTCTTTACCGTGAAGGCCGGGGCCCCATCAATCATACGGGGAGGCGGCCGAGGAGGTGGGGGGAAGGAGGCGACAAAAGGACACAGGTTTAATGCAGGACACATGGAATGATGGGTGTACACGAAGAGACCGAGGGAGCTTGAGGCGGACCACAGTGGGGTTGATGACACGTTGGATTGGGAAGGGACCGATGAACTTGGGTGACAGTTTCCTGGACTCGGTGCGGAGGGGAGGTCCCTGGTTGACAGCCATACCTTGTCTCCCACTGAGTAGGATGGTGCTGGAGTGCGTCGGCGGTTAGCCTGTTGCTGGTACTGATTTGAGGCTCTCAGCAGAGATATCCGGGCGCGATGCCATGTCCGGTGGCATCGGCGAAACTGCTGCTGTATCGATGGTACGGCCAGGTCCTTCTCCTGTGATGGGAATAGTGGAGGCTGATAGCCGTAAACACACTGGAAGGGGACATACCGGTCGCTGTAGTGGGGAGCGTATTGTGCGCGTACTCCACCCATGGGATCTGCTTAGACCAGGTCGTGGGGTTAGAGGAAGCCAGGCATCGTAGGGTCGACTCCATCTTTTGGTTGGCCCTCTCAGCCTGACCGTTAGTCTGAGGATGGAACCCGGAAGAGAGGCTGGCCGTAGCTCCAACGGCGGTGCAGAAAGCCCTCCACAAGGCTGAGGCAAACTGAGGACCACGGTCAGAGACAATGTCAACAGGAAGACCATGAATGCGGAATATCTCCCTTACCATAATTTCCGCTGTCTCCTTGGCCGACGGGAGCTTGGGCAACGGCAGGAAATGAGCAAACTTGCTGAACCGGTCCACTACCGTTAGTACCACCGTGTTACCTCCAGACACGGGAAGTCCGGTGACGAAATCCATGGCCAGATGGGACCAGGGACGATGAGGGATTGGCAATGGCCTCAATAGTCCCACGCTGGGCCGGTTTGAGCCCTTGTTTTGCGCACACACTGGACAGGCCGCCACGTATGCCCGGGTGTCCTCACCCATGGCCGGCCACCAGAATCGACGGCGCAGAAAGGACATGGTACGTGCCACTCCAGGATGACAGGTCAGTTTAGACGAGTGGCCCCACTCCAGCACTGCCGGTCGCGTCCCCTCGGGAACAAACAGCCTACCCGGAGGGCCATTACCTGGGCCCGGGTCCCCCCTAAGGGCTGCCCGAACCTTCCCTTCGATCCCCCACTGGAGGGCTCCCACAACCCGTCTCAGTGGCAGGATGGTCTCTGGCGTCTTCCTCGTCTCCTCCTTCGAGAAGACCCTGGACAAGGCATCAGGCTTCCCATTCTGGGATCCGGGTCTGTAAGACAGGACAAAATCAAAGCGTCCAAAAACAGAGCCCACCTGGCCTGTCGGGAATTTAACCGTTTGGCTGTCCGGATGTATTCGAGGTTCTTATGGTCTGTCCACACCACAAACGGTTGTTCCGCCCCCTCCAACCAGTGCCTCCACTCCTCCAGGGCCAGCTTCACCGCAAGCAACTCCCTATTGCCAATGTCATAGTTACTCTCCGCCGGGGAGAGTCGGTGAGACAGGAACGCACAGGGATGAAGCTTGTTGTCCTCCTTGGTTCTCTGGGAGAGCACCGCCCGGCTCCGACCTCCGACGCGTCAACTTCTACCACGAACTGTAGAGACGGGTCTGGTTGGGAGAGGACGGGTGCCGATGTAAAACGCTCCTGAGCTCCTGGAAGGCCGACTCAGCCCCAGGAGACCACCGGAACGCTCTGAGACTGGAAGTCAGGTCTGTTAGAGGGGCTGCAATCCGGCTGTAATTACGGATGAACCGTCTATAGAAGTTCGCAAACCCCAGAAACCTTTGCAGCTCCTTGCGGGAGTTGGGTCTGGGCCACTCCTGGACGGCCTGCACCTTCTTGGGATCCATCTTCACCTCTCCCTGGGCGATGATATAGCCTAGAAAGCTTGTGCACCTGGTGTTAAATTCACACTTCTCTGCTTTCACAAAGAGCCGGTTCTCCAGCAGCCGCTGTAGAACCTGGCGGACGTGCCTCTGATGTTCCTCCTGATTCTGTGAAAACACTAGGATGTCATCCAGGTAGACAAAAACAAAGCGACCCAGCATGTCACGTAACACGTCATTCACCAGGCACTGGAAGACAGCCGGAGCATTTGTTAACCCGAATGGCATTACCATGTACTCGAAGTGACCCAGTGGAGTGTTGAATCCAGTGAGCCATTCATCCCCCTCACGGATGCGGACCAGGTGGTAGGCGTTGCGTAGATCGAGCTTGGTAAACACCGTAGCGCCCTGTAAGGAATCAAAAGCAGTGTTCATCAGAGGTAAAGGGTATTTGTTCTTGACCGAGATGTTGTTCAACCCCGATAGTCTATGCACGGCCTGAGTGTGCCATCCTTCTTCTTTACAAAAAGAACCCTGCGCCCAGCGGAGAAGACGAGGGACGGATGATTCCAGCAGCCAATGAATCCTTGATGTAGTTCTCCATGGCCTCCCGCTCTGGCCTGGAGATGTTGTAGAGTCTGCCCTTGGGTAGGGCGACCCCAGGCAGCAGTTCTATGGGACAGTCATATGGTCGATGAGGAGGTAGAGATAACGCCCGCTGTTTACTGAACACCTCACCCAGGTCGTGATAGGCGGGAGGTACAAGAGTGAGGTCAGGAACAGGCACCGAACTCTCCTGCTGAACACCCTGGGGACGAGCAGACTGAAGACAATTAGCCAGACAGAAATCACTCCAACTTAAAACACGGTTAGTGGACCAGTCGACCGTCGGATTGTGCTTTGCTAACCAGGGGTAACCCAGAACCACGGGTACTCTAGGAGACTTAAAAACAAGGAAACTGATCTGCTCTAAGTGGTTACCCGAAATTTGGAGCTGGACCGGCTCCGTCTTGTCCGTGATTCTGGCCAATAATCGGCCATCTAGGGAGTTAGCTTCAATAACCTCCTGAAGAGGAACTCTACGGAGTCCTAAAAGGTTTACCAGCTTGTGGTCCATAAAATTGTCATCAGCCCCGAGTCAATGAGTGCCTCCACCTCCATCACTGTAGTGCCCCTTCTAACAGAAATCCTAAGCGGCGTCCGAGATATGTGGGAGGAGGGACCTAGACACTCGCTCGCTAGAATCCTCCTTACTTCTAGTGAGCGGAACCGTTTCCCCCCTTCAATGGGCAAGACGATAGAAAATGGCCCGATTTCCCACAGTACAGACAGCTGTTGGACGTGCGTCTGCGCCGAAGCTCCGCCTCCGAGATCTGGTAACGGCCCAATTGCATGGGTTCGGGGTCAGTAATTCCCTCTGGGTTGTTGACTCTGGGACAAGGGGCTCTCCCTGGTGCTGAAGCCTGTTCACGTCTCCGCTCTCTACTACGGTTATTAATCCGTGTGGTTAGCCGGATCAACTCCTCCAAGCCCTGTGCCTCCGGATAGGAGAGTAGCGTGTCCTTAATGTCCTCATTTAATCCATTGTAAAAGACGCCCTGTAGCGCCTCCTCGTCCCAGCCACTCTCCGCAGCCAGAACACGGAACTCGATGCCATACTCTGCTACACTACGTGAACCTTGGCGTATCGACAATAGTCGCTTCGAAGCGTCCTTACCCCGAACGGGGTGATCGAAAATCTTCCGCATCTCTGCGGTGAACAACTCACATGACTGGGTGATTGCGCCCTGCTTCTCCCATACGGCCGACGCCCACTCCAACGCCTCACCGCGTAGTAGCCCGAGTATAAAAGAAATCCTGGCTCTCTCGCTCGGGTAAGAACGGGGCTGTTGTTCAAACACCAGTCCCACCTGCATCAGAAACGAACGGCACCTGCCACTGTGTCCGTCGTATCTGTCTGGCATGGGGACCTGGGGCTCGCGGTCGGGAATCGACATGACCACCGAAAC